GGTAGAGTCTACTAAAGTTACATAGGGGTGAAAGGGTTAACTAATGACAGGTGTCCATGTCTTTTCTTTTTATCAACAAATGACCCATTTCCCAATTTATCAATAGTTTTTAGGCATGTGTGTTCCTTGCTGTATTTTGAGGTATGGTTAAAATACAAGTACATATGAATTGTACAAGTAATTTATCAAAAAAAAAATATACATTTATGTATCCACCACTTAAAAGAGTTATTTATATTTTATTTTCAAATTTTTCAATGAGTTGATAATTTTCCCAACTTAACTATATATAGAGGGCTACATAATTTACTTATGTCCTTAAAAAAGGTCAAAGACTATGAAAATATAAGATTTATGTATAATATAATAAATAAACCTAATGAGATGTATGGGTATTTTTTTCACATTTTGGTTCAACAATAAATATAATTATGTAAAGATTTTTACAAAAGTATGGAAACAAAGTTGCTCATAAGGGTGAATTTGATACGATTCCTATGCATGTACATTGTCATTATTTTTCAATGTAAAACAACACAATTCACTTGAAATTGAAATATTGTTGTGAAGCTTTTTTCAATAAATCACAAAAGCCTGTACTAGCATGATGAGGAAACTCAACAACCATTAAGGAATTTACGTTCTCACTTTGGCAGCCCTGGAGGCCATTGTTGTATACAAAAGTTAAACATTTTGCAACATACATGGGTGCACCAACAATTAACTGCTATTAATTTATTAAATTAAATGAAAAGTTCTTGCTTTTTAATAAAGAATGCTAAGAAAACCTTCAGCCCATGTCATTCACACTTAAAAGCATCCTCAAACGACAATTGATGTTAATGATTTAGCATTAATTGTGTAAGGGAAGAAAGAGAAACGCAATGGCCAGACTGGGAATCGAACCCAGGACCCTAAGAACTCTAGACAAACATTAATGTGTTTTTTTTGCAGAGTTTTACTAGATAAACCCCTTCCATGGATCATTATCAGATATTGGATCTTGCAAGAGTGACATGCCACATACAAAGATGGTATCCTTCAGTATGCAACTTAGTTTGGAGTCTGTTTTTGATGCAATGGTGAGTAAAGGTTTTGTAAATGAGACCAATAGCAAATACTTGAACATGATTTTATAATGAGTAAGACAGACTTTTATCCAGTTCAATTTTATTGATGAAAATATATGCAATCAAAGAATAATTTCAGCAAAATCAACCATCAAATAAAAGTAGCATACATGACCAGGGACGTATATATACTGTCCCTGACATGACAAATGGTTAAATTATACTAGTCAATAGAGACACTTGTCAGACATTCATCACATTCATGTAATGTAAAGTTACACGTTGTCTTTGGGTGAATTGTGCTAAATCATAAACATAATTATTTAGACTGCCATTGTTGGAGTCTACCAATGTTTGGGTTACAACATCTTTGGGCCACTAGGTTCGTCCCTATTTCATTAGTTAGGAATCAAATGGTCCCAAGTTGCATGTATACACAAGACACGTGGACATCTATTTTTAGACATTACCCTGAAGAAGTGAGAGACACTCGTGCCTGTCGGCGAATGATCAACCACTACTAATCGACCATCGTCTGTTGAAACATAGTTCTTCTTCACACGAGACGAACCATAGCCTTCTCTGCATAGCACGGTTTCGCCCATAACTATTGCTTCACTGCAACGAATGGCCTAGCAGTTCATAACTAAGGCTAATAGATGGCGCTTTAAACACTTCCTGTTAAATGAAAAGTGAAAGTAAAAATGACATAAACAGCCTATAATGATACACTTAGAAACTGTTGTGTGATTGTGATTCATCGTTTTTTCATGGAATAATAATTATATACTTTGCACCGACACTTTGGATGATTCGTATTCTTTTATGAATTTTAAGTTTCAAAATCTCAATCTTTCAAATGTTTTGTTTCTATTAGAAAACAAGCGTTCTCGCAACCCCGTGCTACAGTAAAAAGTCTGCTGAAGTTTCATTGTCACGAAAATTCGATTTATTTAGGTCGATTGGTAAGTTATTACAGATTTTACTTTGGTGTATCACTTCATTATATTTAACAGACTTTTCTACACTTTCATTCGAACGGAATTATTTTTCGAAAAGCAAGAACCTACAATGAATTCTTGTTAGAAGTTTGCAACTCGTAAACGATTAAATTGTTCATTTTATCACAGACTTGGATAGCAAGCTAGGCCTAATTCCGAGATTTTATTCATGGTATGCAAAGCAAACGTAAATATTAACAGAAACATGAAAGTTTTAATTTTGATAATAATGAAAATATGAAACACTGATACAAAGTTTATCAGTGTGTAATGAAATGATGAATTTTTATAGAGCAAATCTTGGAACTACACAGGTGCTATTTTTATGACTTTCACTGTAGGAATAAAATTATCCATGTGTTGTAACATGCCTTAGGGTCATTTTGCAAATTATATAGGGCGCTATACAAATGTTGTACATTATCATTATTAACCTTCATTCGAACGCGTGGCTTTTAAGTTTTATCTATAAATTTTTAAAAAGCAAGAATCTTCAATTAATCTGATACATGAATTCTTGATAGAAGTTTGCAACTCATAAATTGTTCATTTCCTTTTATGCAGAGTAACTTATATTGTACATATATAAACACGAAAGTTTTAATTTTAATAATGAAAATATCAAACAGCGATACAATGTTTACCAATGTGTCATTGAAATAATGAATATTTATGCAAGCACATCTTTATTAATAGTAAGTACATTGTATACCGGTATGTGTACTACATATCATATATCATACACATCATATTACTTTTAGTGTGTCTAGCACATGTGGTGTACTATATGCCAAACATAGTCAAAAAGTTTATCATTACTCATTGATTGATTTTGACAGGTTTCACACTGAAGATGGATAGAGAAGAAAAGAGTGAACAGTGCCTAGAGCTGGACTCCATCATTGACACATTCGATAACTGGCAGCTAGTTATTGCAGACTTGGTGAAGAGCAAAACTGAGTTAACTGAAGAAACAAAAAAAATAAGAACTGAGAACGAGAGACTGAAAAAGAAAAACACAGAGCTTGAAAAAACTGTTTGTGATCTTCAGGGAATGATAGATACTATGCACAAGCAGCTTCACAACATGTGTGACTTAGAGGAAAACGTCAGAAAATGTCAAGAAGAACTTAAAAAACAAACAAAAAAACTTTGTGATGCGAAATCGGAAGGAATTGCCCAAAAAGTAAGACATACCAAATCAATTGAGGAAATGCAAGAGGAACATTCTAAAGAAACGAGCAAATTAATAGAAACCTTTAACAGAGAGAAGGAATTCGAGGTAGACAAGTTAAGGGGAATTATCGAACAGAAAAACGATGAAATGTACCAGCTGCAACAAAAATTGGATAAATCATACGCTGAAAAGGAATCTGAAATCCTGAAACTTTCATTGGATTACGAAAACAAATTGTCAAAACTTAAACAAAAGACATCAGTCGCACCTGCTCAATCAAGCTCTTCCAATCAAGAGATTTTCCGTAAAAAGCTCCAGCATCTGAAAACAGAATATGACAGAGAAGTGAATAATCTTAAGTTCACTATATCAGATCTACAAGAGAAATTGGCTTCCCAAGGAAACACAGGTCGAATGGCGTTGTCTTCTGGGAAAAAGAGACGAACTTAGTATCAACGCAAGACGAAAAGAACACTAATGTGATATACTTAATATTCAGTTCATATTAATTTATTCAAACAGAATTATTGAGTTTTTATTTCAAATATTCCAACAGCAAATAAATAGATTTCATTTTCCAAAGATATTTATTGTGATTTTAAAACCGATATAAGACTGGGATAGTATGTACGCGAGTGCTAATCCAAGATACTTGTACTTTTCTATGAAAATTTTATTACAGCAAATTCTCGCAGAATAATCGCTAAACACTAGTCATCACGTGAACATGCAGTGAATGAAAATAACACTGTAAGTCTTGATTGTATATTTGATTGATTGCAAGGCCTGATGAGAGGAAATGATCCCCGTGTAAATTAAGTAGCATTGATCAGTGGTTATGCCAAAACCTTGTGTCTTCTTTTATGTATTAAGAATTTTTACTGAATTTTAACAGTCCAAAAACAACCAGAGAATAGCATAGTGCCATTAAACCAGTAATTTGAACTGAAAATCGATATAAACAAAAGGGCAAAATATGAACAAACGAAAGATTTACATGAAAGAGGTACCTGGTGTTCCATGAGGGTAATTTAACTTTAAATCATCGACGGCACTAGCCATGCAAATATAGTTCAAAGCCAAAGTAATGCCACGTATTCATATCGACAATCAAAGTAATGACCACAAAAAGGGCACAACTTAAGGCTTATCGCCATCAAAAACGAAATTATGTGATCTAGTCCAGGTGTTTGCGAGTAGCTCTTTATCATATATATAAATAAATTACCCTTTTATCCCCGTAAGTTTTTACAATGCATCAGCTGAGGAGAATAGTGGGGAAATATTGCCATGTCATCGAGCTAGTTGTGTTTCAAAGATGATTGGGGACTCCCTTAACCCTTTCACCCTATGTAACTTTAGTAAACTCTACCATGCTTCTGAATGAGTCCATTATGGTCTACGGTGGTGAAAGGGTTAATAGTAAAGCATCCACGGAATTCCCCACCCAAAGTCTCGGGACAAGACTTTATCTCTTTTTTCGGTGAGGAGGTGGGGGGAGGGGTGGGGGCAGTGCAGAGCAAAAGACCAAAAGAATATGAGGGAAACGGGGAAACTGTTGCATTAATGGCAAGGTAGCTTCCTTTAAAGAGTATTCCGTCTTTGCGTATTGCAGAGTTATCTTC